GTTTATTCTCATAGTCACTCAGTCAGGAGGGCGCTAGGCCCATCTTAATAGAAGGGTAAGTGGAGGCTCAGAGACACGGGTAACTTGTCCAAACCACACGGCTGGTGAGTAGCGTGGGGCAGATGGGCAAACCGAAGGTACAAAGGAGGGCGTGGCAGAGGGACCCGCCAGCGGAGTCCTGGGGATCTGCCGACACACCCCTGGAGAACCTGCACTAGATGGCACTTCCCTCAGACCCGGGGTGGCTGAGAGGGTCTGTCCTGGGAAGTCCCACCAGCCTCAGGAGGATGCTGGTCTTGCAGGAGCCCCTGCCAGGGCAGGGAGAGGCCATTGTGTGTCTGCTGGTCATGGGGTCCAACCTCCTTGTCGACCGCTGGGACCTGGCTTCGAGTCACCCCTGCAGCATCAATTTGAGACGTCGCTTGGGGGCCTAGGGAATCCAGGTCTTGTCAAGTGTGACTCCCAGTTGAGACTTGCTCACACTGTGCATGGTTCGCACTAAACCCCAAGCTATTCTAGAGAAAGTGACCTCACTCGTGAAGAGGGCTGTCTGTGTCTGACAGCCTCCCGCCTCCTTGGCTCTCAGAACCCCCACTGCCAGCCCACACACCCTGAGCTCCTCTCCACAAGGGGCCTTTTCCCAGAGGATTTCTCACTTCTCCTGTTCACCTGTCTGTATCAGTTTCCCCACCCATTAAATGGGTACAGCAGACGTGGCCTGGCTTGTTTCTTCACTGGGCCATTCTGAAGGCCTGAGGAAACCAGGCTGTGCTTTCTGAAGTGTGCAGAGCCCCCCAGCGTGTGCGGGGTGATCTGGTGGACGCCCACTGTCTACTTTGTGGAGTTCAGTGGATGAGAACGGAATTCTGACTGTGGAGAAGTATATGTCTTAGGCAAGGTCAAGAATGGCTGAGGCTGGCGGCTCGCAGGCCCTGGCCCAGGACAGCTCAAGAGGTTTTGCAGAATGACCAGTACATGGCCCCAGCTCCATGGTTCAGGATGGTGGCTCAGCCCAGCAGCTCAGAGCTGGGAGGGACTCCGAGGATGCTGCAGATGAGGAAGCAGGCCCAGAAGAGTGAAGGGACTGGCCTGAAGTCACCCAGCTCAGCCCATGGCAAGAGAGCCAGGATGGGAGCCCCTTACCGGGCTGCCCGAGAGGCCCCTTCCCCCTCAGGGGTCCTGTCAGAGGGCCCTTCCCAGGAGTCAAGAACCAGCCAGCACAGAATTCCTCTTCTGTTTTCATACGCCCTGCATCCAAGAAACCATTTCACTGGGGCAGTTCTGAGAGCCCCTCAATCTTTGCGCGCTTCAAAGAGCTCATGGCAGGCGGTCAGCGGCCACTGCCGGGGACTTTCCTAACTCAGCTGAGGAAGCTGAGGCCAAATGAGGGTGACATGGCCAGTGCTGGAGGCATCCTTGCCTCTCTTGCACGCTGTGGCCACATCCCCGGCCGCCCCACGTCACAAGCCATCAGGCTGCTGGCCCAGCTTCTCTCCTCCTAACTTTCCTCCTTCGGGCTCTTGGTCTGCTTGATGCCACAGGTTACCTTCAAATGATGAGACGTGTCCTGTGCACCCAAATCTTCACGCCCCCTGCTGCCTCCAGCAGAGCAGGGGACACCAGGGGTCGGACAGTGTAGCCATCAGCACTTCTCTTATATAAAGTGACCCTCCTCGGCGTTTAGGGAGTGGCCACAGAATTACCCCTACTTAAAGCTGGGAGAGGGGGTGGTGCAGCTCCATCTCATTCACTAAAAGAAAAAGCGGAGACAGAAACCCTGACTGGAGGAAGGGGCGCCCATCCCTCCACGTGCCTGAATAGAACCTAGATGGTAAATCCGAAAAGGTCTCAGGCTCCCATCCTTCCGGCCCACGGGCTACGGGGGAGGGGCTTCAGAGGGGCAGCAGAGCACATCACCTCGGGAAGGGAAAGGAAAAAAAGAAAAACAGCCTAGAAAACGCGAATCGGCTCCGGGAGCGGCATAATGGGAAGCGTGATGTATGGTGCCGGGGACGTTATTAATGGTTTGCTGATTTTTACCTTTAAAACCTTTGGGCAGATTATTTATTATGTCCTTGGCGTGCGTATGATCTATGGAGGGGGCACTAATCTGCGCCCCCCGTGTCCCCGCTCCTCTACAGCTTCTAATTAGGCTGGAGGCTGCCCTCCCTGCTGGCTGTCGGCCTGCGCGAGCAGAGGAGGCAGCCCGGCCTCTGAGGATGGGGCTCTGGGCTCTCAGAAGGTGGAGCCAAGGCCGGCGTGCAAGTCAGGGAACCCGGTTTCCAGGCCTGACTTTGTACTGACCTGCTGTGTGACCTTGGGCCAGGGCGGGCCCTCTCTGGACCTCTGGGTGCTTATCTCTCAAATGACACAGAGCCAAACAAGGCAGGTATATGGCCCCTCCTGGTCCAAAAGTCTCTTGCTTCTAGAACACAGAGAATTGGAAAACAGCGGTGCTTTCCCAAAAGTCCAAGGTCACCAGCCCCAGCAGCCCAATGTCTCTTAAGATGTGAAGTCATCCTTTCTCCTTCCCGCTCCTCTGCTGTGGCTGCTAAGCACTGGTAAGGGTAGTCTGGGCCCTCCAGTGCCCCGCTCATCCTGCTGCTGGTTAGGGACAGACCTGGAACTGGAAGCCATGTGCAGCGGGGCTCAGCCATTTCCAAGAAAATGAATCAGTTCCAACTCTCACTCTTCCCACCTTCCACCATTGCACCCGGTAGGCATGAGACCCTAGGTTTATCCATTCCTGGAACGGCTGTGATGATGGAGCTTCGAGAGGTCCCTGGATTCATACCTCCAACTTGAGTGTGGGAGCCTCCAAGCCAACATGGAAAGTTGGGAGGCTGCATCATTCCTCCTGAGACACGGTGGAAGAGTTAGAACTCAGACAAGGGGCACTCCTCTGCTCCTTGCCCTCTGGGGAAGCCACTGTGCTCGCGAACTTCAATCTCATCATCTGTCAAGTGCAGCCATAGTAATACTTGGGACATCTTGGGTAGGACCACCCATCCTTGTGAGGGACTGGCCTCAACGTGGCAGGGCGATCAGGGTCCTGGCCCCTGCACCGCACACATCACCGGTCCTGCCAATCATTGCGACAAACAAAAATGTTCAGTGCTTTTCTAAGGCTCCCCACAGATGGAAAACCACAAGTTCCCTGTTGTGGGGACCGGGGACTGGCCAGTGGGGGTGTCAGGGATGCGGCCAAGGACGGTGGACCCTGGAGTGGGGAGATGCTGGCTAGGACCACCTGGAAGGCTCAGCCCCTCAGACCAAGGGCAAGACTGCTGGGAGGCCAGAGGTGCAGCCCAGTGGAGCCCAGCCTATCCGCCGTTGGCCTCTGGCAATGGGGCTTCGAGGGGAGGTGGTGGGGCTTGAAGCCCAACCCAAGGGGTACGAGGTAATAGGTCTCTCAGAGCCCGGGGCTTGGGGCCTGGGACCTGGCTGCATGGAAGAGAGAACCCAGGCCTGGGAGAGTCAGGCTTGGGTTTAAATCAGGACTTCAGCATCTACCAGCCATATGTCCTTGGGCGACTCACCTCCGATCCCATTTCTTCAGCCATAAACTGGCGCTAAGGCAACCTTGTAGGTGGTGGCAAAGCTGAAAAGTGACTGTACATAAAAGCCTCTTCCTGGCACACAGTAGGGGTGCATTTTGGGATCGCAGGTTTTTGTTGGGCTTCCTCAGACCAAAGTAGGAGCAGAAACAGCAAGAGAGGGTGAGATCCCCCAGGGAGGGGACTGCGAGAGCGGAGCCGCGGCTGAGAATGAGGAGTCACCGGCGCTTCCGGTGCAAAGTGCAGGCAGAGGACGAGGAGCCGGAGCGGGGCCGGGGTGGCGGGGCGGCGTTGGGGCCGTGGGCCACCGCCATCTCGGGAGATGGTGACCAAACCAGGCCCCAGTGTTTGGAAGATACACAACCAGCAGTGATTTCGGGATCAAGAGAGTAGTGGGGGCGGTGGGCTGAGATGGAGGGGGATTGGATGAAAGTGGAGGTGGGGGCAGCGGTGGTGGGGGCGGAGCGTTCTCCCGACCTCC